GAAGAGCGGAGCGGTGCTCCAGCCTGCAGGACAGCGGATTGCTCCACTTCTCGGCAATTCAAACCATGTGTACTTGGGGAAGCCGCTCATTTAAAATCCTCCCTACCTCTGCAGACTCAGCAATTCCAGGGGCTCTCTTGCTGTGCTTATTTACATAAATTTTCATTTTTATTATGTTGATTTTTTTTTTTTAATTTTTTATGCTAACTTTATACACAGGGAGCAGCATTCTCCAGCCTGCTGTGGAAGTTTGGTGCTGTACTTTTTGTGGTTCCCAGCAACTTGAAATATCTGCCTAATTTTTACTGGTGTAAATGTTGTCTTCAAGTGTCGCTCGCTATCTGCCTTCTCCCCGCGTTGTCTCCCCAGGTAATTAGCACAACAGAATTCCCCTAATTGCTGGAGATCAAGGGGGAGAGGGCTCTGCTTGCTTTGCAGCCCTGACAGACGGCAGATGGTTTCCAGCAGGCCAAATGGGGAGTGCCGAGCTCTGCTAGCGCCGGCTCTTTGTTTCGCACTCTTGCGTGATAGCAGCTCGCTATTATTGCTCTCTTTTTGCATCTTCAGTATCTGGGTCTGTAGTTCTGCGTTTCTGAGTCATGCGTCCTTCAGGATAGTTAAATAGATGTGGAAAAATATCACATGAAAGCGAGCATTTCTTTTTCAAATTAGTGGTGATCGCTGCTTTTCTGAGTTGCTTTGCATCTACTGAGCTTCAGTGGCTGAAGTATTCCTTACTGTCACATCAATGCTTTTCTACCTCCTGAAACCATTAAAACTCTATATTTTTCTGTAAGTTTTATGCTTTAGAATGAGACAAAGAGCTGTACATCATCTTCAAGTTTTAAAATGTTTCCTAAATCCTCCTTGCCTCGGTTTCCATGAGAGCCCTGTCCCTTCCCGTACCAGTCACTTGGCTTCAGCAGGGTTTACTCTCTCGGTCTGATGTTGCCCGCAGGAGGGTAGGACATTATCATTGCAGGAATAATATAAACAGGGGTGTTTTTTTGCATGAAACCTACAAACACAATCAGGATTCTTTCCTGCACGGAAAAACCTGTGCCAGGATTGTAAAAAATGAGCCAGAAGCCAAGCGTTAAAGCACCAAAAGACCAAAGAACAACTGGCAGAGGAGGACTTTTGACAAGTGGTGCCATTTAAAGGCAGGTGCTTGCTTTCTGTTTAACGCGTTTTCG